GCATTCGGACTGGCCCCAGCGATTATAGGCCCCATCGATCCGGAAGGCGTGAAGAAGGCCGAAGAATTACACGCCAGGGAGATGGAGCACTACGCTGAGGTCGAGGATGACGATGAGGAGAAAACCGATCCCGAGTCCTTGACGCTTTCCAAGGCCGAGGAACAAGAGCTGGAGGAGATCAAGCAGCAGTTCTTGACTTTCGAGAGGGATGGCTTAGGTACCACCAGTCTGGAGAAGCACACTATTGAGCTGATGGACGGAGCCAATGTGTTCAAGGATCGACCCTATCCGATGTCTCCCGCGAAGCAGAAGGTGGTCGAGGACGAGGTCGACAAGATGCTGGCGCTCGGAGTCATCGAGGAGAGCAAAAGCCCCTGGAGCAACCGCACCACCGTAGTATCAAGATCTGGAAAACACCGGTTCTGCTTAGACGCACTTAAGCTTAATGATGTAACCATCAAAGATGCTTACCCGTTGCCCAGCATAGACGGCATTCTGTCCAGAATTGACCAAACGTACTACATTTCCAGCGTGGATTTGAAGTTCGCTTTATGGCAGATTGAGTTGGACACGGGCAGCAAGGAATACACAGCCTTTACGGTTCCTGGTCGGCCTCTTTACCAGTTCCGTGTGATGCCTTTCGGACTCTGTAACGCTGGTGAGACTCATGGACCGAGTAATTCCAGCTGAAATCCGCTCGAATGTGTTCGTCTACTTGGATGACCTGCTAATACTAGCGCCTGACATGAGACCGCACTTGAAGTATCTTCGCCGAGTCGCTGAATGCCTGAAAGAAGCAGGGTTAACCATTGGTCTGAGCAAGTCGAAGTTTTGCTTCAAGTCTTTGACCTACCTCGGCTTCATAGTGGGTGGAGGACGTCTGCGGATGGATCCAGGGCGTGTAGCAGCTATTAGGCGGATGCCTGAGCCAAGGACCATGAAGGAAGTGAGAGCCTTAGTTGGTACCGTCGGTTCATAAAGAACTTCGCGCCGTTGGCAGCCCCGCTCACGCAATCCTTGAAGAAGACGGGAAATAAGAAGTTTTCCTTGAGTCCAGAAGCACAGCTGGCAGTAGAGTCCTTGAAGATGGCCCGAACTACTGCGCCAGTGCTGGTACATGCGGACTTTAAGCGGCACTTTTTCATCCAGTGCGATGCGATCGGAGTCGGTGCAGTGTTGTTCCAGCGGGATGAAGACGGCCAGGAGCAACCAATAGCGTTCTTCTCGGCCAAGATGAATGGTCACCAAGTCCATTACACCGTCACCGAAAAAGAATGCCTCGCAGCCCTGCTAGCCATTCGAAAGTTCCGGCCGTATGTGGAAGGAATGCCGTTTACGTGCATCACGGATCATGCCAGCTTGAAGTGGCTCATGTCCATGAAAGACCTTTCGGGTCGGCTGGCTCGGTGGTCATTGCAACTCCAGGGATATGACTTCAACATCGAACACAGGAAAGGAAGCGAGAACGTCGTGGCAGATACCCTTGCGTCTCGCATATTTATATCTCCAGCCAGCCCTCGAACGGTGGCTTGCATGACACACATGCAATTGCACCGTGGATGCGCACTGGTAGAGAAAAGTTGTTTAAATTTTGTAGGAAGAAAGGGAGGCGTGTCCACTAGAGGTAGGACAATTGCTCTTGAGGCACAGTTCACAGGGATTAGCTGTGATTTGGCGGTGACATCCTCTTCGAAGGAAATCGAAGCATTCGCATCCCAGGTCGTCCGTGCAATAAGCACGAAAGGTTAAACCAAAAACTGTGATAAAACTGTGATATCGGTATTAGGGACATTTTTTTTGTTAACGTAATTTTAATGAATGTTTTGTTTTGGGGTTACAGTGTAGTTGTTTTATTTGTGCAGATCCTTGGGTTTTCTTGGTATTTGCGTTTTCATATCATATCGGTTTAAAACTTAAACGTGTGGTCGTGACCCGTGACGTCGTCACGCGCTGCTTGGCCACCGCGACTTGAATGAAAAACGCAAAGTCCAAAAGGAAATCCTATGCGATCCTGCGAACAGCCGAAGTCCTTAACTGGCGACTTTCAGCACAGCTGAAAGTTAGTCCAGTTGACGAGCGGCTTGTTTAGTGAGAATTCGGACGAAATTGTAAACGCAAGACGACTGGCGCGGAGTCTACCGGCTGGTGATCGGCTCCATCTCCCCTTATTGAGGCTGGAAAAAAAATAGAGAAAGAAATTTAGTCTTGAGGGACTTGTTTTTTTATAGGAGCTAATTATTGGTGTGAATTTGTTAAGCCTAAGGTATTTGTTGGTCGTTAATATATTTTCTTATTTATTTCTTATTTATTCATTGTTTATTGTTTCTATTTATTTATTATTATTATTTATTGGCCTGGTAATATAAGTATTCGTATTATTTAGGTGCATATTATTTAGTGGTATTTATTTATTATTATTCACTAGCATTCAGCATAATTTATTTATTTATACATAATTTGGGTTTTTGGTTGGCACATTGAATTCGGGGTTTCAGAAGTCGTGTTAGGGGTTACCAAAATTCAGGATGGACAAGGCAGCAAGCATGATCACCTGCTTCGGTCGAAGGGTTTTCCAGGCGAGGACGACGAAAAGATGTGGTTCACGGATGTGGAGGGCGCTACCGAGGCTGGTTTGCCGCGCATATCGGAAGGGTTGCCCAGAACTCCGCTTGCCCGCTTGCGCCAGGGACTGCAACAAGAGCAAAAAGAACCACAGGACACCGAGCTGCAGCAGGACCTAAGGCAGCAGCAGATCCTGGAGGGAATTGGTTCCGCGGCGGATGAGTTGTTGCAGCTGGACGATAAGGACGCAAGACTCCACGATCCTTTTATGGATTCCGCGGCAAGGTCGGCCGTTAATGTGGCTTTGGCGCAGGCGGCGGAGACCCATCGGAAGGCCCAAGAAGGCGGGATCAATCAGGAACTGAGGGACGAGATCCGAAGTGGCTTCCTGGAAATGATGAAGCTCAGTTTCCCCTGGAGAGCATGCCGGATGAGCGAAGGCGTCCGGATTCAAGGATCACCGCAGGAATCCGTGGTCAAGCCCCGCAAGGTGCGGTGCCCAAGAGCACACAGGTCGCCGGCATGGACGGTTCCAGGCTACCTCCGCCGAGGGTGCCACACAAACCGCCGAGGAGGCCGCTAGATTTCCAGGAGTTGGAAAGTAGCAGTCCCGGGTATCCTCCGGATCATGGAAGGTCGCGCCGAGACGATGGCCCGGCCCGGCTGGTGCGTTGAGGACCGCAGGGCCTCAGGGTTCCGCGAGGAGCAGCTCCTGTATGTCAATGTGGGGCCGGCAGCCGCCAACCAGCAATGGCGAATTGAGCGGTGGGGCGTATCCTTCGACAGGGAGGATGAGCGAAACTCGGTGGAAGATTTTCTCTTCAGGTTGGAGTTCCTGCAGCGGCAGTGCCAATGCCCGTGGCAAGAGGTGCTCCGAAACTTCCACCTGCTGCTTACTGGGCGGGCTCGGGAGTGGAACTGGGTGCACGTGCGTCACTGCAGGGTGGACAGGTGGTCCCAGCTTCGAGCCTCGCTGATGGATAGGTTCCGATGCCACCAGACGGAGCACGACCGGATGCACCAACTTCTGCAGAGGGAGCAGCAGCTCGGAGAAGGAGTTGACGATTACGTCCACGCGATGCAGCAGTTAGCGGCCCGTCTGAAAAGGCCACTGTCAGAGCGACAGTTGGTTAAGATAATCAAAAAGGGCTTGAGGGAGAGCATCGCAAGGTTTGTCTACGCGATGGATGTGCTTACGGTGGATGAACTGCGGGAAGAGTGCTGCGAGGTGGAACGCAGTTTTGGACGACGTGGACGGACCACGTACACGCAGCCGATGCGGTATCCTCCGGCGGAGAAGGCCAAGGTTAGCGAGGCTATTGGCCCAGATCCTGGTGAGGATCCTCCGTGGCACGAGGTGGACGAAGTGCGGGCGAAGAATCCGTGCCGAGCCGGCTGCTGGAATTGCGGAGCCGTGGATCACGGGTTCCGTGACTGCGCAGCAACAGAACGCAGACTGTTCTGCTACCGATGTGGGAAGCCCGACACCGTGTCTCCCAAATGTCCGGATTGTGCGGAAAACGGTCGGCTGGGCGATCCGAGGACGGAGAGGATGCGTCCAGACAGGAGTTCCGCACAGAAGAAGAGTTGGTAGAGTTAAATAAATGTTTACCTTCTAAGAATAGCAATAAGTCTAATTTACAATACTTACCTTATGCGGAGAGGATGCGACGGTACCTAGATATCAGGAACAGGATCTTCTCAGAGCACCAGTTAGGCGGGATGCGTATGGTGTCTCGCAAGGTGCAAAAGGCCAGGGACCGATTTCGCAAACGTCGGAACTGCCGACGCGAAGCAGTGGCCGCCGTGAAGCGCAGTTTATCGCGAGATCCCAGACCGTTCGCCGCAGTCCGAGTCCTGACCAAGCAACTGACGTGGTTGTTGGACACTGGAGCGAGTGTGAGTCTGCTTGGAAAAGGTGGCAGAGAGCTGGTCGAGGCCTTGGATGTGCCCGTCCAGAAGTACTTATCCGCAGTCCGTACGGCCTCTGGAGAGGATCGGTCAATTATAGGACGGGTCAAGTTACCGGTGGAATACCGAGGACGGACAGAGCACATTCTCTTCTACTTGTGTCCTTACCTGGAGCAGCCAGCTTATTTTGGAGTGGATTTTTGGCAAGCATTCGGACTGGCCCCAGCGATTATAGGCCCCATCGATCCGGAAGGCGTGAAGAAGGCCGAAGAATTACACGCCAGGGAGATGGAGCACTACGCTGAGGTCGAGGATGACGATGAGGAGAAAACCGATCCCGAGTCCTGGACGCTTTCCAAGGCCGAGGAACAAGAGCTGGAGGAGATCAAGAAGCAGTTCTTGACTTTCGAGCGGGATGGCTTAGGTACCACCAGTCTGGAGAAGCACACTATTGAGCTGATGGACGGAGCCAATGTGTTCAAGGATCGACCCTATCCGATGTCTCCCGCGAAGCAGAAGGTGGTCGAGGACGAGGTCGACAAGATGCTGGCGCTCGGAGTCATCGAGGAGAGCAAAAGCCCCTGGAGCAACCGCACCACCGTAGTATCAAGATCTGGAAAACACCGGTTCTGCTTAGACGCACTTAAGCTTAATGATGCAACCATCAAAGATGCTTACCCGTTGCCCAGCATAGACGGCATTCTGTCCAGAATTGACCAAACGTACTACATTTCCAGCGTGGATTTGAAGTTCGCTTTATGGCAGATTGAGTTGGACACGGGCAGCAAGGAATACACAGCCTTTACGGTTCCTGGTCGGCCTCTTTACCAGTTCCGTGTGATGCCTTTCGGACTCTGTAACGCTGGTGAGACTCATGGACCGAGTAATTCCAGCTGAAATCCGCTCGAATGTGTTCGTCTACTTGGATGACCTGCTAATACTAGCGCCTGACATGAGAACGCACTTGAAGTATCTTCGCCGAGTCGCTGAATGCCTGAAAGAAGCAGGGTTAACCATTGGTCTGAGCAAGTCGAAGTTTTGCTTCAAGTCTTTGACCTACCTCGGCTTCATAGTGGGTGGAGGACGTCTGCGGATGGATCCAGGGCGTGTAGCAGCTATTAGGCGGATGCCTGAGCCAAGGACCATGAAGGAAGTGAGAGCCTTAGTTGGTACCGTCGGTTCATAAAGAACTTCGCGCCGTTGGCAGCCCCGCTCACGCAATCCTTGAAGAAGACGGGACATAAGAAGTTTTCCTTGAGTCCAGAAGCACAGCTGGCAGTAGAGTCCTTGAAGATGGCCCGAACTACTGCGCCAGTGCTGGTACATGCGGACTTTAAGCGGCACTTTTTCATCCAGTGCGATGCGATCGGAGTCGGTGCAGTGTTGTTCCAGCGGGATGAAGACGGCCAGGAGCAACCAATAGCGTTCTTCTCGGCCAAGATGAATTGTCACCAAGTCCATTACACCGTCACCGAAAAAGAATGCCTCGCAGCCCTGCTAGCCATTCGAAAGTTCCGGCCGTATGTGGAAGGAATGCCGTTTACGTGCATCACGGATCATGCCAGCTTGAAGTGGCTCATGTCCATGAAAGACCTTTCGGGTCGGCTGGCTCGGTGGTCATTGCAACTCCAGGGATATGACTTCAACATCGAACACAGGAAAGGAAGCGAGAACGTCGTGGCAGATACCCTTGCGTCTCGCATATTTATATCTCCAGCCAGCCCTCGAACGGTGGCTTGCATGACACACATGCAATTGCACCGTGGATGCGCACTGGTAGAGAAAAGTTGTTTAAATTTTGTAGGAAGAAAGGGAGGCGTGTCCACTAGAGGTAGGACAATTGCTCTTGAGGCAGAGTTCACAGGGATTAGCTGTGATTTGGCGGTGACATCCTCTTCGAAGGAAATCGAAGCATTCGCATCCCAGGTCGTCCGTGCAATAAGCACGAAAGGTTAAACCAAAAACTGTGATAAAACTGTGATATCGGTATTAGGGACATTTTTTTTTGTTAACGTAATTTTAATGAATGTTTTGTTTTGGGGTTACAGTGTAGTTGTTTTATTTGTGCAGATCCTTGGGTTTTCTTGGTATTTGCGTTTTCATATCATATCGGTTTAAAACTTAAACGTGTGGTCGTGACCCGTGACGTCGTCACGCGCTGCTGGGCCACCGCGACTTGAATGAAAAACGCAAAGTCCAAAAGGAAATCCTATGCGATCCTGCAAACAGCCGAAGTCCTTAACTGGCGACTTTCAGCACAGCTGAAAGTTAGTCCAGTTGACGAGCGGCTTGTTTAGTGAGAATTCGGACGAAATTGTAAACGCAAGACGACTGGCGCGGAGTCTACCGGCTGGTGATCGGCTCCATCTCCCCTTATTGAGGCTGGAAAAAAATAGAGAAAGAAATTTAGTCTTGAGGGACTTGTTTTTTTATAGGAGCTAATTATTGGTGTGAATTTGTTAAGCCTAAGGTATTTGTTGGTCGTTAATATATTTTCTTATTTATTTCTTATTTATTCATTGTTTATTGTTTCTATTTATTTATTATTATTATTTATTGGCCTGGTAATATAAGTATTCGTATTATTTAGGTGCATATTATTTAGTGGTATTTATTTATTATTATTCACTAGCATTCAGCATAATTTATTTATTTATACATAATTTGGGTTTTTGGTTGGCACATTGAATTCGGGGTTTCAGAAGTCGTGTTAGGGGTTACCAAAATTCAGGATGGACAAGGCAGCAAGCATGATCACCTGCTTCGGTCGAAGGGTTTTCCAGGCGAGGACGACGAAAAGATGTGGTTCACGGATGTGGAGGGCGCTACCGAGGCTGGTTTGCCGCGCATATCGGAAGGGTTGCCCAGAACTCCGCTTGCCCGCTTGCGCCAGGGACTGCAACAAGAGCAAAAAGAACCACAGGACACCGAGCTGCAGCAGGACCTAAGGCAGCAGCAGATCCTGGAGGGAATTGGTTCCGCGGCGGATGAGTTGTTGCAGCTGGACGATAAGGACGCAAGACTCCACGATCCTTTTATGGATTCCGCGGCAAGGTCGGCCGTTAATGTGGCTTTGGCGCAGGCGGCGGAGACCCATCGGAAGGCCCAAGAAGGCGGGATCAATCAGGAACTGAGGGACGAGATCCGAAGTGGCTTCCTGGAAATGATGAAGCTCAGTTTCCCCTGGAGAGCATGCCGGATGAGCGAAGGCGTCCGGATTCAAGGATCACCGCAGGAATCCGTGGTCAAGCCCCGCAAGGTGCGGTGCCCAAGAGCACACAGGTCGCCGGCATGGACGGTTCCAGGCTACCTCCGCCGAGGGTGCCACACAAACCGCCGAGGAGGCCGCTAGATTTCCAGGAGTTGGAAAGTAGCAGTCCCGGGTATCCTCCGGATCATGGAAGGTCGCGCCGAGACGATGGCCCGGCCCGGCTGGTGCGTTGAGGACCGCAGGGCCTCAGGGTTCCGCGAGGAGCAGCTCCTGTATGTCAATGTGGGGCCGGCAGCCGCCAACCAGCAATGGCGAATTGAGCGGTAGGGCGTATCCTTCGACAGGGAGGATGAGCGAAACTCGGTGGAAGATTTTCTCTTCAGGTTGGAGTTCCTGCAGCGGCAGGGCCAATGCCCGTGGCAAGAGGTGCTCCGAAACTTCCACCTGCTGCTTACTGGGCGGGCTCGGGAGTGGTACTGGGTGCACGTGCGTCACTGCGTGCGAAGAATCCGTGCCGAGCCGGCTGCTGGAATTGCGGAGCCGTGGATCACGGGTTCCGTGACTGCGCAGCAACAGAACGCAGACTGTTCTGCTACCGATGTGGGAAGCCCGACACCGTGTCTCCTAAATGTCCGGATTGTGCGGAAAACGGTCGGCTGGGCGATCCGAGGACGGAGAGGATGCGTCCAGACAGGAGTTCCGCAGAGAAGAAGAGTTGGTAGAGTTAAATAAATGTTTACCTTCTAAGAATAGCAATAAGTCTAATTTACAATACTTACCTTATGCGGAGAGGATGCGACGGTACCTAGATATCAGGAACAGGATCTTCTCAGAGCACCAGTTAGGCGGGATGCGTATGGTGTCTCGCAAGGTGCAAAAGGCCAGGGACCGATTTCGCAAACGTCGGAACTGCCGACGCGAAGCAGTGGCTGCCGTGAAACGCAGTTTATCGCGAGATCCCAGACCGTTCGCCGCAGTCCGAGTCCTGACCAAGCAACTGACGGGGTTATTGGACACTGGAGCGAGTGTGAGTCTGCTCGAAAAAGGTGGCAGAGAGCTGGTCGAGGCCTTGGATGTGCCCGTCCAGAAGTACTTATCCGCAGTCCGTACGGCCTCTGGAGAGGATCGGTCAATTATAGGACGGGTCAAGTTACCGGTGGAATACCGAGGACGGACAGAGCACATTCTCTTCTACTTGTGTCCTTACCTGGAGCAGCCAGCTTATTTTGGAGTGGATTATAGCGGAGGCGATTATAGGCCCCATCGATCCGGAAGGCGTGAAGAAGGCCGAAGAATTACACGCCAGGGAGATGGAGCACTACGCTGAGGTCGAGGATGACGATGAGGAGAAAACCGATCCCGAGTCCTGGACGCTTTCCAAGGCCGAGGAACAAGAGCTGGAGGAGATCAAGCAGCAGTTCTTGACTTTCGAGCGGGATGGCTTAGGTACCACCAGTCTGGAGAAGCACACTATTGAGCTGATGGACGGAGCCAATGTGTTCAAGGATCGACCCTATCCGATGTCTCCCGCGAAGCAGAAGGTGGTCGAGGACGAGGTCGACAAGATGATGGCGCTCGGAGTCATCGAGGAGAGCAAAAGCCCCTGGAGCAACCGCACCACCGTAGTATCAAGATCTGGAAAACACCGGTTCTGCTTAGACGCACTTAAGCTTAATGATGTAACCATCAAAGATGCTTACCCGTTGCCCAGCATAGACGGCATTCTGTCCAGAATTGACCAAACGTACTACATTTCCAGCGTGGATTTGAAGTTCGCTTTATGGCAGATTGAGTTGGACACGGGCAGCAAGGAATACACAGCCTTTACGGTTCCTGGTCGGCCTCTTTACCAGTTCCGTGTGATGCCTTTCGGACTCTGTAACGCTGGTGAGACTCATGGACCGAGTAATTCCAGCTGAAATCCGCTCGAATGTGTTCGTCTACTTGGATGACCTGCTAATACTAGCGCCTGACATGAGAACGCACTTGAAGTATCTTCGCCGAGTCGCTGAATGCCTGAAAGAAGCAGGGTTAACCATTGGTCTGAGCAAGTCGAAGTTTTGCTTCAAGTCTTTGACCTACCTCGGCTTCATAGTGGGTTGAGGACGTCTGCGGATGGATCCAGGGCGTGTAGCAGCTATTAGGCGGATGCCTGAGCCAAGGACCATGAAGGAAGTGAGAGCCTTAGTTGGTACCGTCGGTTCATAAAGAACTTCGCGCCGTTGGCAGCCCCGCTTACGCAATCCTTGAAGAAGACGGGACATAAGAAGTTTTCCTTGAGTCCAGAAGCACAGCTGGCAGTAGAGTCCTTGAAGATGGCCCGAACTACTGCGCCAGTGCTGGTACATGCGGACTTTAAGCGGCACTTTTTCATCCAGTGCGATGCGATCGGAGTCGGTGCAGTGTTGTTCCAGCGGGATGAAGACGGCCAGGAGCAACCAATAGCGTTCTTCTCGGCCAAGATGAATTGTCACCAAGTCCATTACACCGTCACCGAAAAAGAATGCCTCGCAGCCCTGCTAGCCATTCGAAAGTTCCGGCCGTATGTGGAAGGAATGCCGTTTACGTGCATCACGGATCATGCCAGCTTGAAGTGGCTCATGTCCATGAAAGACCTTTCGGGTCGGCTGGCTCGGTGGTCATTGCAACTCCAGGGATATGACTTCAACATCGAACACAGGAAAGGAAGCGAGAACGTCGTGGCAGATACCCTTGCGTCTCGCATATTTATATCTCCAGCCAGCCCTCGAACGGTGGCTTGCATGACACACATGCAATTGCACCGTGGATGCGCACTGGTAGAGAAAAGTTGTTTAAATTTTGTAGGAAGAAAGGGAGGCGTGTCCACTAGAGGTAGGACAATTGCTCTTGAGGCACAGTTCACAGGGATTAGCTGTGATTTGGCGGTGACATCCTCTTCGAAGGAAATCGAAGCATTCGCATCCC